TTCTTTCTTTCTTTCTTTCTTTCTTTCTTTCTTTCTTTCTTTCTTTCTTTCTTTCTTTCTTTCTTTCTTTCTTTCTTTCTTTCTTTCTTTTATTCTTCTGCTCTTTACATTTTACCTCCAGCTGGCAGACTTGTATACATTAAAGAGGTCTTAAGTTGTCTTTTTGTAGATCTTTCTTTCTTGAATATTGACCACTTTTTCATCTCCTCTTCTTGTCCAGTTCTTTTAGCAGCTTTTAATTTATAAAGAGAGGAAGTGATAGAAGAAGCCTGACTGATGTAGTTCTTCAGTTTTGGCTACAGTGATGATTTAAAAATGRCGAATCACACTAACAAAAATGTCTGAGCTCTGAGTCCACACTGCTGAGGACAGATTAAAACAATCCGCAAAGAAAACTAAAAACATTGTATCTATTTTGATTGTTTTAATAAAAAAAAGGTCTTTTATAAGGACGTTATAGAAGTTTATACAAAATATAAGGGAAACAGAAACAAACATCGACAGAAAATAAGTGAAAAATTTAAAAAGTACAAAAGATTGACCCTGGTTACTCAAAAAATGACAAAAAATGTGGCTGGTTGGATGAGAAATGTGAATAAACGAGCAGCTCTTTACAGTACTGTAGAAGAATTTTAGACTATTGCATAAGACACATTTCCAAACATGTATTATAATGTTTAGATGTTGTGTGCTTGTTTTCTCAGGCGAGTGGCCGAGTTGTTCATGTTTGACTTTGAGATCAGTGGGATTCATCTGGATGACAAACTGGTGAGTTATTAAAACGTAAGGAGAAAATAATTTTCAAGACAACTCCTTTAAAGGGCCTGTGACTTGCTTATCCTTCAACTACAAAAAGTCAAAGAAAACGTATTTATATTTAAGAAAGTTAGCATAATACACATGATTTTACCCATTTTGTCTCATAACTGGCATATTTTTTCTTGAATTTGGCTCAGAAAAGTGAAACAGGAAATGACATCAAAGGGGAACTCTTTAGGAAAGAAACTGGTCTTTATTGAAACAATCTTATTTAAACTTTTCATCTCTCTGATAGTGACTCAAAATAATCTAAAAAACATCAGATTCTTCTCTAATTATTGTATCATTGCTCTGTTTACATGCAGATATTTCTCTTTGACATCACTTCCTGTTTCTTCACATGCAAATATCTCAACAGCTGTTCATTTCAACGGCGTGAAATTTGTTTTGCAGTATGTTATCAGTGTTCTATTTCCAAAAACACATTCACATTTATTACAAAAAAATAATGTCCCAGGCACTTTAACAATCTCTGCCTTTTTCTTTTTTTTTTTTTTTTTCTTGCTGTGTAGAAATGTATTTATGCGTTCCCTTGTTCCCCTGCAGAGGAAAGAAGCTGTCGACCTTCACGTGAAGCTGCTGGATCTGAACAACGAGTTTCTGATCGGCTCTCACATGCCGAACAGAATCGCAAAGTCCGTCATTCCTGAACACCTACGGGTGCACTTTGCAAACGAGGGGAGCTTCATTCAAGTTGGGGGGTTACACGCAGATTCCCCGGATGATCTGGTATGTCACAACTGAAGCATTTCACCTGTTGTCCAGCAGGTGGTGCCATTGCCACTCAGATCCTAAGTGTGTTTTTTTTTTAAGGCTGGTTTTGAGTAAATTAATTTAGAAATACTCTATAAGAGTTTTCATCCACAGTGAGAGTATAAATAGTTTGTTGGAACATATTTACTCTAGGAAGAAATCAAACTGTTATTTAGGAATAATTGCAGCTGCTGATCCTATTTTTCCAGCGTTGTTTATGTGGTGACTTTAAAATAAGTTTAGCTCTCCTCGTCCCACCACGCAGCTTCGAGAGATTGCCTACAGGATTTACCTCTACCCTAACGCAGACCTGATGGAGTGTCTAGAGRAGGTGCTGAAATGCAGATACAAACTGGCCACACTGGTGGGCTACGAGTCGTACGCACACAGAGCTCTAAAGGGAACCATGGCCAAAACCCCAGGTGGATTGTTAAACTTTTCTTATGTAATATCCTCTGCGACTGTTTGAAAAGAATTAAGTCTTGGCTCAGCCGTCCAGGTTGCAGAGCTGTGCTTTCTTTAAAGTCTTAAAATGTTTAAGCTTTTTTTATCCTTCTGACCTTCAACAGAAACGGTGATGAGCTTCCTGCAGTTGTTAACAGACAAGCTGTCAGACAGGTATGGTCCTCTTTAAGTGATTATTAAAGACTTTAAAGGCATCCTTTGAAGCTGGAAACTTGATGAATAATTAATATGTTACATGTTGTGGAAAGTTCAACATCTTCAGTTTGGAGAAGCAATTCTCTTCTGACCACACGAACGAGCTAAAGGCTAATCTGAGTCGAGACCCAGTTGGACATTTACCACCTTACAGTCCTGAAAATCTCACAGAGGTGTATTCAGATGCTACTTTATGAACCAGGGGCRTCCAAATCTGRTCCTCGAGGGCCGCTATCCTGCAGGCTTTAGRTGTTTCTCTGCTCCARCACTGCTGATTTGAATGAGTGGGTGAAACAGGCTTCTGCAGAACTTGAAGAGGTGATTCAGTCACTGATGCAGGTGTGTTGGAGCAGAGAAACAAGTAAAACATGCAGGATGGCGTCCCTCGAGAACCATTTTTGGACACCCCTGTTTTAAAGTAGATGGATAATAATTGTTCATTATCTTTCTGCAAAAGCCCACTTTTAAAGATCTGAACTGTCCCTTTAATGTATGCCTTTACAGCTAATACCATAATGAGCTGTTTATTAAAAAACTAGACATTTGCAGATCAGAATATAGAGATTTAATAGATTAGTTTTTATCAGTATGATTCACATTTCGAAAGCCTCGGGCGTTTTGTGTTCCCGTTTCATGCAACTGTATCCTTTGTGTGGTGGATTACTCAAACGGTCCAGAAATATGCGTGTCAGGTGGACCAGGAGAGTCTAAATTACCCACAGGAATGATYGTGAGCTTGTTAGCCTGGCAGCCAGTCCAGGGTGTTTCCCTGCCTTCAGCCAAATGCATGCTGGGATAGGTTCTGGCCCCTGTTGACCCYGAGCAGAAAGAGGCGCGCACAGCCAGGAATTAATGCCTCTAGTCAGTTTACTCCTAACGTGCTGTTCTTTTTTTCTTCTTCTTCCTTTTATCTCTCAGAACAGCAAAAGATTTTCAGATGATGAGAGACATGAAGAAAAAACTCAACCCTCGTAACTCTGTGAGTTTTCTTCACATCTTGTAGTCTTGTATTACAATCCAGTGTGTTTTTATTTGTGTTAAACTGACGCTATAATTCAGTTTGTTTCGTGTGAATTGCTTTGATTCTGTCRTATTTTAAAAGGTGAAAAATGTGAATAATCACTGTGTTGATAGGAGCTCATGCCCTGGGATCATCCATTCCTCAGCGGTGTGTTGCGWGCTGAAAGGTGAGAGTTGTGTTTTCCTAAAACTTGTTTTTCCAGCCTGCTGTTGTTTAATAAAGACATGTTGATCTGTTGTTTTGTTTCCYCGATGGGTCTATGATTGTATTCCCATGTTGTTCAGTGCAAACAGTTTCTTCCTCAGGTGTCTCTTGTGACAAAAGGTGTTACAGGAGAAGCATGGGAGCAGTTTCACTGTCCACTCCTGTTTAAGATCAGTTATGGTTTGTTCTATTGAAAGTTAGTTATCAGTTTATATGTTTTTAAATGCACGTGGTGCAATTTTATCGAGGTTAAAGCTGATTAAGATCAGAATGTAACACACCTGAAGAGATGTTTTTGGATTTATTGATCAGTGCAGGGTGAGGGGCTCCATCATCTGGGTGCAGGGGTCTGCAACCTGCGGCTCTAAAGCCACATGTGGCTCTTTGAAAATGTGACCAAACATAACAGAAAATACTGTATATATATATTGTTTTGTTTTTTACTCACAACAGGAATCCATATGCAAATATGTGATTAATACTGATACATAAAATAAGACATGTTAGCTCATGCTAGCCTGTTGTTTACTTAAATAATCCAACTTCTTTCTATGATCTTTCTCTCAAATCCATCAGAATTACCTTTTAAAGAATTTGAAGACTACATAATAAGAATTAGGAAAAAGATATGTCGGAATAGTTAAGTTTTACTAGTTTTTATGAAATTCGATATAAACTATGTACAGTATTTTCCTTGTTTACATGAATATGTTCTTTTCATTTGTCCTGATGTGCAAAATAATAATACATAATAAAATTCACAATAAATTTTTTTAGTTTTATAATGTCACCTCCACTGGCCATAAAAGTTCCTGAAAAGGCCCACGACCCACTAGTTGATAATCATAGTTGTAGCTTGTTTTGCAGCTCTGAACACATTTTATTAGTGAGCCAAGTAGCTGAAATGGCTGTTTTGATCATAAAGGTTGCAGACCCCTGATCTGGGGGGAGCTGCTGCTCCTTCACATCCTCAGTGTCAGTTGAGGTGGTTCAAGCATCTGATTAAGATTTGTCCTAGATGCTTTCATTTGGAGATTATCCAGGCACGTCCTACTGGAAAGACACCCAGGGGTGGACCCAGACCTTGCTCTGGGAACGCCTCGGTGGAGAGGAAGTTGTGGATAAAAGAGGAAAGGTCACGYCACCAGTTTGTCAGGATTAATCAGACTTTTTTTTTCCTCCTGGTCCTTTTTTCAAATGGGTAAAACAAAAACTAATCAATAATTATCAATGTGGACTGATATGAAACACTTATATCGTGATACGTTTTGAGTCTCAGTTGTTTTTTTCCTGCACTTGTTGCCTCTGTGACTGCAGATGAACGCTCAAAGATGGAGACTTCAGCAGCAGTCTGTTATTAATCACTAATAATACACAGATGTTGTGTTTAAGCTTGGTCTCCATTTTGGTTTGTGGTCTTTATCTAAAACGTCTTTCAAGTAGCTTGAGTGGTTCTATTTTAAACGATGGATGGATGGATGGATGGATGGATGGTTGGATGGATGGTTGGATGGATGATGGATGGATGGTTGGATGGATGGATGGATGGTTGGATGGATGGATCTCATAGCTCTGAGAATCATTAGTTGATTGTATGATTTTATTTCTCTCTCTGTGGAAGGTATGTTGACCACAAACACAGTTCTTTAGTGCTTGAAYTGAAAGTTGCCTGTAAATGTCTTCATCTCATTTGATAGAAAAATAGAAATGTAAATGACAAAGCTAATCACTGTAAATTAGCGTTGGGCAATATTGGCAAAAAAAATTTAATCACGATTTAATTGTGGTATTTAGCCGACAACGAGTCCCTGGACACCCTTATGTCCTAGTCACATGACCAATTTAGTGGGAAAGATTTGCTCGCCATAAAAATCTGTTCCAAATTGTGTCAAAATGACAGATTTCAGGCTATACATCAAATTTTAAATTGTGTGGATAGATAAATAAATTACAGAACCTTTTATTTAATATTCGTCATATTTGAAGCAGAGAGGAGCAACAAGCAGACTGACCAGAGAAATCTCCAGTCTGCCTGCCTGCTGGCATTAATCGTATTAATCATCAAGTGCCAAAAAAATAATGCTTGTTTTTCTGTCAGTTAATTGCACACGATACGATCATGCCCAACCCTAATGCAAATTACTTGGCCTTAATACTAGAAGCTAGCGGCTTAGCAAGAATTCTATAAAATAGTCCTTTTTAGGAGGAAAAAGATTTAGATTAATAGTAAAATTGTCAATCGTCTTGTGCTCCTTCCAGGTACAACATCGACCCCAGTTTGTACAGTCCCTACTTGTCTCTGGGMGCATGCATGGAGGGTTTGAACAACCTTTTCTCTCAGCTGTACGGCGTCTCCCTCATGTCCGAGCACCCCGGATCTGGAGAAGTGTGGAGCGAAGACGTCCGCAAACTGGTGAGTGAAGTCCTGAGCCCAAGAGTAAATTTATCATTGGTGTCAAGTACCGCTTTTATTCCTTGTTTTAAACCAAAATGTTTGTGTGTGAAGGCTGTGGTGCACGAGACAGAGGGACGGTTGGGCTACATCTACTGTGACTTTTTCCACCGGAGAGATAAACCTCATCAGGTACAGGCAAAACTCTCACTCTGCATGTTGTTGGTTTTGTTTTTTGCATAGCAATTTAATTACTTTTTCACAAAATACAATAATTCACAAGATATAAATTCATGAAACCACACTACAACTGGAACGTGTTGGTCAGTAAATGCACATTTAAAACATTTCTTTGTGTCTGAGTAAATACATTATGAAATGTGATTATTTTTAGGTAAATACGGTAACTATGCAGAAAGTTTGTGTTCTTCAAAGTTCGATTCGCGTCTGTTTTAAATCTCTCCGCCTCCTCGTACGACCTCCCTCCCAGGACTGTCACTTCACCATYCGTGGCGGTCGCTGGTCCCAGGAGACGGGTCAGTACCAGCTGCCGGTCGTGGTGCTGATGCTCAGCCTGCCCCACCCCACAGAGAGCGCCCCCACCCTGCTCACCCCGTGCATGATGGAGAACCTCTTCCATGAGATGGGCCACGCCATGCACTCCATGCTGGGACGCACTCACTACCAGCACGTGACAGGTTGAAACACACACACACACACACACACACACACACACACACACACACACACACACACACACACTGTTCACAAAACTGAAACGTTTTGGTCTACTTTGGAAAGTAGGACAGGATTTAGTGAAGTAACAAACCAACAGTTGGTAATGAGATTCTTATTTGACATTTTATAAGTTTTTTTTTTTCTGTAAATGATGGCTGTGTTGTCCCAAATGTCACCTGCTAGAATGACATAGTTTGATGCAGAGCTGAAGGTTTTTAGTTACAGAGTGCTGACTTTAAAATGGAAGGTAAATCCGATCGAGCGTGAGCCCCGAGGAAAGGTTTAGATCGTTAAAACTTCAGTTTCGTGTGTCAGAAGAAATAGTTGAAGGCCCAGTAATTTAAGATCCTTAATGGATTTTAGCCTAATATCATTTACCTGGAGACTGGTTCTGTAGTGAACACCAGGTTTACTCTGAAAAGCTTCTGAAATAAAAGTTATAAAAACTGAAATATTACAAGAAACTTAATTGTTTCTTCCCTCAGCTTTTTTTTTTATTTATTTCTATCTGATGTTACCAAACTTTGTTTTAATCCTAAAATCTCAAAACAGCATGTTTTGTGCTCTTTTCTGTATTTTTTTTCCTTTAAAAGCATCAAGTTTAGCGTGAATAGCAAAGCAAATCTTCTCTGCCTCAACTCTCAAAGCAAGGATGAAGTCAGACACATTTTGTTTGAAGTTCTGTTGTTGTTCTTTTAGGAACCAGATGTGCGACCGATTTTGCTGAAGTCCCCTCCATCCTCATGGAGTACTTCGCCACAGACTACAGAGTCGTCAGCCAGTTCGCACGTCACTATGAAAGCGGACAGGTACACTCACACACTCGGGGTGACTGGAGCCTCTTTCATAAGACAGGTCTGTAAAATCGTCGTACAGACCGGTGCAGCTTTAAGCTCCCTCTGGTTATTCATAAATTCACAGGAGAAGGAGGCCAGGTCCTGCTCACATGTACACATTCAGAAATTAACCCAGCAGTGCAGAACCAAGAGGCGTGGAGAAGATCGCTACATATTTATTGTGTGCCGGGCGTTTGCCTTGTACCAACTAAATAAACTTACTTTAGTGACCCTGTGGTTCAATGTTTTTAAAACTAACTGTAAAGTTGCTGTTTTGTGTCATCTCTGATATTCCCTCAGTAATAAATCTGTTTGTTGATTAACCCTGCGGTCGCTCACTGATCAGCTCATCATTTTCCGAGCCACAACCACGGGTTGCTTTTTCACAAGCCGGTCTGTCGGGTTCAAGCCCAGCTCTGATACTACCTGGCTTGGGGGCTCGTTTTACTCGCCTTTCTGCCTTTGTGTTTTTTTCTGAATGCTCGGAAGAGGACAGAAAACACATCAGTCCTTGACTGAACTGTCTTATGAATGAGGCTTAGAAGAGCTGCATTTGGTGTTTTAGGTGGTTTAATAACAGATGTGCTCTTTGTGTCGTCAGCCTCTGCCTGAGAGTATGGTGGCTCGCCTGTGTGAGTCCAAAAAGGTGTGTGGAGCAGCAGACACCCAGCAACAGGTAAAACCTTTACAAATATAATTATTCAATACTTTTGGATAATCCGTCCGTTTTCTTCCCCTTATCCGGGGTCGGGTCGTGGGGGCAGCGGCCTAAGCAGAGACACCCAGACTTCCCTCTCCCCAGCCACTTGGGTCAGCTCATCTGGGGGAATCCCAAGGTGTTCCCAGGCCAGCTGAGAAACATAGTCCCTCCAGCGTGTCCTGGGTCTTCCTCTTGGCCTCCTCCCAGTGGGACATGCCCGGAACACCTCACCAGGGAACCGTCCAGGAGGCATCCTAACCAGATGAACCACCTCAACTGGCTTCTCTCGACGTGGAGGAGCAGCGGCTCTACTCTGAGTCCCTCCCGGATGACCGAGCTTCTCACCCTATCTCTAAGGGAGAGCCCAGACACCCTGCAAAGGAAACATTTCGGCCACTTGTATTAGGGTTGGGCATAATCGTATCATGTGCAATTAATCGTCAGAAAAATATTAATCGATTACTTTTTGGCACTTGACGATCAATACGATTAATGCCACCAGGCAGACTGACTGGAGATTTTCCCGGTCAGTCTGCTTGTTGCTCCTCTCCGCTTCAAATATGATGAACATTAAAAATAAAGTTCTGTAATTTATTTATCTATAAACACAATTTAAAATATGATGTATAGACTGAAATCTGTAATTTTCACACAATTTGGAACAATTTTTTTACAAATAGCAAATCTTTCCCACTAAATGGGTCATGTGACTAGGACATAAGGGTGTCCAGGGACTCCAGGGGATTAATCATCAAATTAATCGTTATCGGCTAAATACCACAATTAATGGTGATTAATTTTTTTGCCAATGTTGCCCAACCCTAACTTGTATCTGCGATTTCGTTCTTTCGGTCACTACCAAAGCTCGTGAGGGTAGGAACGTAGACCGACCGGTAAATCGAGAGCTTCACCACGACAGACTGGTACAGCGCCCGCATGTCTGGAGACGCAGCACCAATCCACCTGTCGATCTCCTGCTTCATTCTTCCTTCATTCATTAAGAAGGCCCCCCCAGATACTTAAACTCCTCCACTTCGGTCAGGACCTCTTCCTGACCCGGAGACAATCGGGGAAAAATCTTTTGGATAATCACGGTTGCTAAATAATCATCTGATTTCTGAACTGACTAATGTATTTTGTACTGTAAAATCATTTAATGTCATTCATCTAAAACAAGTAGAGAATTTCTGAAGAATTTTTGAAGATCCTGCCCAAAATCCATTATAAACTTTATAACTTAAAGTGGACGTATCAAATCCACTTTTTTAGTAGTTAAATACATTTATTTGTGTACTTTGAGTCTCTAGGAGTGCAGAAAAGTTGAATTTAGTCTCTCCACTTCCTGAGTAGGTGCGAAGTATCTTGTTTAGATTTAAAGAGACAGCCTTAAAACGAGTTGATCTGAGACACACCTATATATGTATGTGTATGTGTGTGTGTATATATATAAGTCCTTTTACATTTGAACATGTTTAAATCCCTGTTGTTGTTTTTTTCTTAGATTTTCTATGCAGTCTTGGACCAGATTTACCATGGCAGACCTCAGAACCGCTCCACCACAGATATCCTGAAGGARATGCAGGAGAAATTCTACGGCTTGCCTTACACGCCCAACACGGTACATCTCCTGCTCCATCAGCTGATGGCAGTAGCTGCGTTTCCATTGACCATGAAAATGTGCAAATTAGAATTATGAAAATAAATTTGCTCACTGGAAACACGTCAGGATGAGGGGGTTTTCCGGCCGTATCAAAATTGGTGTGTTTTGCAAAACTGCAATGGAAACACTTTTTTTTGCATCATGGGAGTCACATGATCAACAACCGGATGTTTCTACTGGTGAAAAAGACAACAAAGAAGAAGATAAAAGGAAATAGAAGTAGTAGTAAAATCACTGAAGTTGTAAAAGAAAGTAGTAAACTCACTGACTACAATTTCCCAAAAACACAACATACGTAGCCGCTCCCAAGTAGGGGCTTGTCGCTCGAAAGCCTCGATAAGATGCCGACGTCTCCTCTGATGGCTGATGATGAGCTCTAGGGTTGTGGTCGCACTTATGCTAGTGTTTACATCCATTGCTGCCATGTTTGCAATGACTTATCGCGAGAACAAACATATTCACGCGTGACTTTATTAGCATTTTTTTACTTAATGGAAACACCTCAATTGCGAAACAGTTTTTTTTTTTACATTAACATTATTGACAAAGTTTTGCGCACATTTGCAATGGAAATGCAGTTTGTCACTTTTTTTTTTTTTGAAACAAACATTTGTTTTTTTTAGATCAGTTGTCGTCTCAATGTTTGATGAGAAGTTTGAGTTTTTGGTTCCCCAAAGGTTTTTCCCCTCAACACTCTTTCTTAAACTTTCTTCTCACTTTCTCTTTTTTCCGCTCATCTTTCCTTTCTCTTCTTTCCGTCTCGTTTATATATCTTTCATTCAGGCACAGCAGCATTTAAAGGATTAAAGCTCTTTTTGAAGCCCTGCTAAAATAACAAAGGGAAGAAAGGCTGTTTCTATGATCTCTCCTATGGGAGGTATTTCATACTCTTCCTACCAGCCCGTTAGTGGAAAAAAGGGAGTTTTATTTCCTTCACTTTTGCAGCTGTGGGTGAAAGGAAGGAAGCCAGGAGGCAAAATGGAATCAGACACACGGTCATAATTCAGCCAGAAATGGATCCTTCGCGCAGCGTTCACTCGGAGCTGTAATTACGTGGCGTGCCATCAGAAATTGCGATTACAGGCGAGCTGTATACTCCTGTTTTCCTCCCACTCGCCTGTTTGGTCCTCGCTTTGTAGTTCCTCCTCAGAGGTTGTGGTAWATGTTATTTAGTTTCATACTGGTGTAGTCATTTCTCATCAAATGTTCCAGCCAAATACTGGATCATCTCTCCAACAGCAAAAAAAAAAAAATAATAATCTGTTTCTCTCTGGGTGTTTTTGTGGAAAGACAGCTGAGGGAAAAGTTTCCCCAGTAAAAGGAATATTTGAGTGGTTAATAGATTATAGAGAGGCRCAGATTATAAACATTAGGGTGACTTTGACGTGTGTGGTTTATAGATCAGGGCCGTGTATATCAGCTGTGAATAACACAAACCACATGCTCAACCTGAAGAGGAAGTTTGAGGAGAGAAAGGCAGAAGTTTTGTTGACATTTCAGATGTTTCTTTCATGTAATTTCGCATTTTACGTCCTTTTTTCCCCCAAAAATCATAATGGCGTGTTTAAGAGTTTTATTATACAACAGCTCATGTTGCTGCACATTCCCCTATAAAACAGCATGAAAAGCTTCACTTAAGTTCAGTTTGGATCAAGCAAAAATATCCTTTTATCTCACATAAAAGAGAAAACACGGCGAAAAACCCCAGTTAGCAGCAGTTACTTCATTTCTTTTGAATGTTAGGATCAAAAGGGCTGACATGTGACCTACATGCACTCCTTTAGAAAAGCTGGCACTAATCATTTAATTTCAAAGCCTTTATAAGCTAAAGACAATTTACCACTAAAAAGTTATTATAATGAAAACATGAAACCTGGTTAATGCTGTTTAAAGACCTGAAACATATTGTTCAAGCTTATGTTCATTTATTAACATATTTGTCCAACATTAAATGTTGTAAACAGGCCTCTGCCCTCTGTGACCCACACAGTCGGAGCTGCGCAGCAAAAACTGGTCTAAGTTTCTCTAGCCTGCGGTTCTGATTTTCCTCAGGAGTGCTTTTCACTCTTATTAAAGTCTCTGCAGCCCAGAAGAGTCGTGTCAACTCCACACTCGGGAGCCTGAGCAGTTTTCAGGCTGTTGGATGAGACCACAGAGAGGACGAGCGGCCAACACTTTAAACCGTCCACCATCTGCTTCACTTTGTCTTCCACGTTATAATTTTTATTAACTACACACAAATATGTCTGCTTAATGTGGATATGAGCTGGTGTTCAGCTCGCTGGCTGTGTTGGTCTGTCAGCAAATCCAATATCATCCATCACTGACGGGCTGACGTTTATCCTGGTTGTGTTGCACTGATTTTAGCCTTCAAACTGATTTATTTACATTTAATTTGACATTTTATTATTATTGACTCACGATGAGGGACTGTTTATGTTTTCTTAAAGATTTTCAGATTACTAGTATGTTATTATAGCACAATATATATTTTCTGTCAGTTGTAACTGAGTTATGGCCGTTAATGTTTTTGTCACAATTAGTGTGCTTATTGTTTGCATGGACACATTTTACACTACATTAGGGCTATTCATCTAAATTGCTCCGGGGRCCACAGTTACTGCAGGTCAACAGCTGAGGGGCCRRACATCCAGCAAATAAAGTTATTATGTAAATAAACCAAGTATTACAAAGATCTGTTACCTTTGAAATAGTTTATTTTGCTGCATTTWATCATGAATACAACATAMAGAACCCAATAAAAGTAGTCATAATTCAATAATATCAAAAACAAAAAKAACACATTATGCCTCCTGTTTGACACAAATATTATTTTGACATCTCTGACTTGCCAAATTTTTTAACCAATTTTATTTTCACTTTCATAGTTCCGTCTTCAATTGCTTGTAGTTTTAACTGTCTTGAGTGTGATGCATAGAAATGGTTTTTACCAGCTTCTATCTAAGATACTGATGTTTCTGCAGATACCAAACATGTCTATGTTTAACTAAAAGAACTTAGAGTAATTAAAGTAGAAAACTGGGGGTTTGGGCTTAAGAGATGAATGAACCAATTGGCGGGCCGAGCTTTGGTCACTCGTGGGCCGGATTTGGCCTGCGGGCCGCCAGTTGAATAGCCCTGCGCTACACTATACATGTGAGGACTATTTGTCATTGCGTGGACATTTCGTGGTCCACATAGGAAAACCGCAGTTGTGGGTCATGGTTAGGTTTAAGGCAGGTGTCAGCGCTAGACTGTAGAAATTAGTGGAAGTCAATGCAAGTTCCCACAAACAGAAATACGTGTGTGTGTGTGTGTGTGTGTGTGTGTGTGTGTGTGTGTGTGTGTGTGTGTGTGTG